AATTAATGAAATTTAAAATTTTTCTTAGCAGTATCCAACATATTAAAAGTCACTTATAGGGAGGATGAAATGAACATACTTGAGGACCTAACTGAGCAAACTAAAGATATACGAAGTATGTTTTCATTTAGATTGAACTTGCCAGCCTGGGTTCTCTGTCTTCCAGATGATTTTATCCGGAGCAATGGGCCAGTCTTTGGGTGCTGTTCGAGGCTCCTCAATGACTTCACGTATATGCCTTCCGCCACAAAAGGAAAATAAATAATACTTGAATTATTGACATATCTAGGAGACTGTGTGTATTCTAAAATATAAAGAATACTAAATAATTACTATAACTTATTTTTTTGTTATTCAGATTTTTACAAATTGACATCCACGTAATAAATAAGGGGCTCATGTTCTTTGTTTCTTTCTCTTCTTTTTTTCGGTCCCCTTTCATGAATTCAGCTCTCTCTTGTCCGGTAAAGAAGGAGGTCAAAGGAGGAAAAAAACAAAGAAAGAAATGCGGGGCCACTGGATCTCATGGATGCTGGCTCCAACATCAGTTCCCCCCCCCCCCCGGGCCCAAAAAAAAAAAAAAAAAGAAGCTAGCGATATGCTTACAGTTGTAGACAAGCTTGTTGTACCATCTGAAATTGCTGCTGCTTTCAAAGGCGGAAGGTTTGTTTGGCCAGGATATGGAGAGGAGTAACTCCCTTTTCATCCACAGAGCCCACTATGTCCTTTCCGTAAAGATGAATGATTTCAAATGCCACCCTGCGAAGAATGCGAACAGAAATGGGTTAAATGATTAATGAGAATAAGGGATGGAGATGAAATGAATGAACAAGGGAGTAACCAACCAAAGTGTTCTCGGCCTATGGTGCAGTGAAGGATAGTCTCTCCATCGCTGGATCTTTTCCAGAGGCCACTACTTGGGTCGGGGCAACGAGAGTGTAGGTAAAGGAAAGCATCCATATGGCCGTGAAGAGCGGCCAAGAAGAGAGGAGTCTCTCCTTTCTCGTTGCGAGCTTCAATCAGTTGGGTGTCCCGTTGAGCTTCGGCGATGCACTTGCACATCTCGAGGGACCCTCTTGACGCCGCACAGTGCAGTGGGGTATCCCCTCGATGATTCTTTGTTTTCAGCGCCGACAACGACCCAAGTCTCGTGATTTCCATCAGTAGATTCTCCACCATATCTTCCCTGTGGTCGTTCACCGCCACATGCAACACTGTGTCGCCGTAGCTGTTGATCGGTTTATCGTGAATAATACTCACCTTGTTTTTGTATATCGTCAAAGCTTCATTCCAATGACCCTCTAGCGTGGAATGGTATAAACTGTGCGTCGTCGTCAGAATATCCATATCAGAATCCATATATTGCGTTTTGCCCTGATGCGCGAACCAACACAGCGTGACTGTGTGTGTTAAGATGGTGGCAGTGGCTGGTGGTCACTTCGCTCCCAAAACTCGCTTTTTATACTGCTCAACTGCTCCCATGTGTGTCTGTACAGTACAGAGGAATCTCTTTTCATTATATTGTGGAAGGGCAATGTAATATCTTTTTCTCTTTTCATTTTGCATCAATTAATAATTAATAATTATACATATATGGAACACGTTGTTTGCCCTTCGAATGTGATGGGCAACAATAACCTAGAAACAAATATCCTACGACGTTCAGATTGATCCTCTCCAGCCCTTTGAAAAGTGTGGTGGCATAGTAAAACATAAACCCAAAATAAAGTATAGTACGTAGTGTGTTAAGCATAGCTTGTAGAGGTGAACCAAGGGATAATCTGAGCACACCTGAACTTAGTGATTCTGTTTAAGTTGATAATTCCTTAATTATATATAATCAGATAAATACGTGTCGGAAAGTGTGAGCACACATATTCTAATAATGGCTCGATCCTGACCATAATAGTACTCTTCCTACACAATTTCTTCCTGTTTATAAGGGTTATAGGCATGTTAATTAACAATAAAACGTGAATACAGCTTATCCAGGGGGAAAAAGTGCACATAACTAGTCTGAATTTAATCTCAATTCAAATTTTTTCAAAGAAATTTACCCCAACCTACTCCTTTTTTTTTTAAAAAAAAAAATAAGACAGACGCACACACGCATCGCATACCCTCTATTAGATTAATCTCACCACTTTTATTTGTGAGCTGTCATTTGAGTTAAAGGTTCTTGGCATATATTTTTAATTATTTGAAAATTAAAAAAATATAAAAGAAAAGCGTAACAAAAGAGAAAGGTGGGAAGAACATCTGGCTGTGAATATATACGTACGTATGTCATCCTCCCTCGAAGTTAATTTGTTCCAATTTCGTCAGAGCCAATGCTATTTCTTTAAAAAAAATAAATAAATAACTTTGACTGCGAGAAGTAGATTTGTACCGGCAGCAGCAACATAATAATAATAATAGTAAATTGACGCTACTGGTCCTTTTTATAAAAGCCTAAAATTTGAATTGCCTTGTTCCTTTTTATAAGAAGCTATTTAGAATTTTCTGAACATTTAATTTATTTTTACCATTTTTGTCCCTAATTAATTTTCAACATTACATTAATTAAAAGGTTGAAAGCTTGGCATATTATCTTCTTTTTCATGCTTTCTCTCATTATTACTATATCTCTCTCTCTCTTGCCCCCTCACAAATAAAGATATGCTTGAGAAAAAAGTTTATTTTTTACATATTTATTACTTTTAACTAATTTAACTATTATCTTAAACATCGTAATTTAATTATCAGGCTCTTATAAAAAGTACCAGAGGCAGTATAATTCTCAACTTGCCTTAAAACTTTAATGGCTGTATTAAAATGAAAAAAAAAGACGAATATATAGAATCGAATGCGTGTTGAGTTTAAAAGACTAACACCCGTACTAAATCCTGGCTGGGGTTTCATGTTGACTCTTTTTGGGACATGCAAATAGTTTAAACTAGCTTCTAATTCATACGTGTCGGCAAAGAGTGTTTTTATTTCTCAAGGGATCATTCTCAATTCTCAAATCAAATGTGCGTTCCAATGGCAATCTTGAAAATTACGAAATTGACATCCTCACTTTAGACAGAACCTTTCGCTTTGCCCTGTGGAAAGCACCAGCCAAATATACCCATGCGTTTCACCCCACGCATAATATTTTCTCTCCTCTTTCCTTTTTATTTTTAAGTTGGGTATAAAATGTGATTTAACAAGGTTGAAACAGTGGTTTATCATTTTGTGGGCTACCACCTTTTATTAGACCAAATTTCTGTTAATCACTACTAATATTCCTAATTCTTAGTCACCCGTCACTTTAGAAAAATCAACGCATCTTTTGGCTTGTTCAAGGAGGAAGGTTGGGGTCTCATTATTGAATAAATAATAGTGAAAAAATAGGCCTCATATCTAATCAAACTTGTACCGCTTTCTTACTTTTGGCATATGATACGAGGCATATTTTTGTAAGTTTTACGTTTCAATTTCGGCAAAAATATATAAACCATTTCTCGAAACTTTTTCCAGAACCATAAATAAGTAAATAACTCACAATAAAAAAAACATGTGATTAATGACAGAATTTTTATTTAGCATTTTGTTGCTAATAAGCTATTTTTTTTAGTACTTCCTTCAGTTCAAATTATACTTTTTGTGAGCTTTTATTTATTTATTTATTATTTTCATTTTTTCACTCAAAGCCTCCTTGCTGTTCATCCTATTAACACCGTTTGCGATATCACAATAATGAAACACACATGGCATTTTTCAACACAAGCGTAATTTTAAGAAAAGGGAACGCATTATCTGAAGAAAAGAGCGACGGGCGAAACCATAGTATGACTTCCGATGCTCTCACTGTCCTCACGTCTTCATCAGATGGTCCCTGGCATTAGAGAGGCTTGGGCACAAACATTTCTTTATTTTCTAAGCCTTTTTTAATATATAATTACTATATATTAAATGATTAATTTCCATAAGATGTCTTCTGTTCTCTCTTAATTTGACCAGTCAATTTCTGTTTATAAGATAACAGAGAGTTAACATGGAGGTCCGTGGTTTTAAAATAAATAAATAAATAAAGACTCAAGCAGATTAATTTTAAACTTTAAAATATTCCTGGTAAAAAAAAAACTTTAAAATATTATGGGTTATATGTATTTAAGCTCAGGAGAGGCGACTTATATATGTTAGCTTCCAATTTATAAAACATTTGGTAAAATGTTAAAGAGTTCGTAATCAATGTGTTTATTTCGAAAATAATGTCTCTAACAAATTAAAAATTACTTAAACTCCATTAATATAGTTCATTTCCTATGAAGAAAATCAACTGTTTTTAACAAATATGTTTGGAAGTATGAGAATGTTTTATAGACATCAATCGATTAGGTGTGAGTTACTTTAAATTGCCTTCTATAATAAGTGGTTGAGTACATGTAAGAGATTTAATATATTATCAATTAATATAACACTAAAAGTTGAATGGATCCATGCCTTATCAAATAATTAATTAAATAGTGATTAACTAACTGCTTCATAGCTAGTGATTTGGTGAAAATACTTAGCCTTTTGTGGGGGCTCGGTGATTGTTCATTTTTGTTGGATCATCTACTCTGCAGACCCCTGATATAGGACCTTTTAAATTGGTCATAATTACTTAAAATATCCTTATTTATCTTAAAGTATTTAGAAAATAGAATTGACTCACTCTTTTAGGTGGGTAGTTTTAAAAAATACATTGTTACTTAATCTAATCTTTCATGTTTCGCTTAATTTAAGTTTGATACAAGCTATCGTATCTGAGAAAAAACAAAAACAGTGGCACGTGAATGATTTCTTTGTTTAATTCAAAAGCAACGACGAATCATTTACATAGAGGCTGCTCAAGTCAACGAGGTTTATAATCTCCCATAATAAACAAACAGGCACAAATGACACAAATTGGTGGAGGAAAAGCAATTATTGAAGATCAGAAAATGCAGGTTTCAATTGGGAGGGGAACAAATGGACGAAAGAAAGACAAGAAACTCCGTCGCCAGAGGAAATATATAATCAGACATGGCCAGAAGGGAGTGACTGGGGAACCTCTGTAATAATGGATTTCAAAAGATCCATGTAGAGCGGAAACTGTACGATTGCGTAGAAGGAAACAGGAAGGCAGGTGGCGGCATACAGAGGGAACACTGCCATCTTGAATTTGTCCTCGAGCACGAAGAAATGTGCGGCGCAGAAAGATATAAGCATCGAGGCAATGGACACAAACAGCGAGCCCAGGCCCAGAAGAATCTTGAGTGGCAAATTTTTCTTAAAATCTTTGGGTAGTTTTCGAGAGGTGAGTATGGAAAGGAACATGATCAGTGCAGTGACAGAGAAGCAGAGCCCAATAAGTGCAGTGATAGCGAAGAGTTCAAATGCCGGCTGTCGTTCTAAGGTCGGTCTGCCAGTATCACCATTAGTCCCGCCGGGGACTTGGCTCGACGTTGCAAAGGAAACTCCGGCAACCAGCGCAGCCACCACCGAACAAGATTCAGACGTATCCTTTAGCCACTCGCCACTGTCTTTGACCAGAGTTTCATGACCTTGAGAGAAGATTTGTTCCGGAGTTTCGTCTTTTGCATTGCTAAGGGAAAGGAAGTGGCGTGGCGAGAAGGATTTCACATACTGCAATAACAATTCAAATTCCATCGTCAAAAGAGTACATGGATATTGTGAGGACAGCGCTTAGACATGGCTCCTTAATTATAGCAAGTTAAATTACCTCATACCACTTGATTTCCCATTGCGTCCGCATGGCAGTGCCATGAATCTGCCAAGGATGTACCTTGGATTCTTCATACTTGGCTGCTAAGTGCAATATAGTATTTTCATCAGTATCCACTGATTCAATGAGGTCAGCCCAAAGATTAAGCTTTAACTCTTTGTTTACTTGTTTCTGCACTGCCTCAATAACCCTGGGTTGCCTGTTCTCCACTGCTACCTGCAATATATTTTTATCCTTTGATGTGGTATCGTAGATGGACACCGGTAGTTGGCTTAGAAATTCGTTCACTACTTCAATTACGCCTTTCTGGGCTGCCACCAACAAGGTTGTATAAGTTTCTGTCTCCTCCTTTGAGTCCCCACCATTGCCTGCCTTATCCATGCACATACATAATATATAGTATTCAAATTCATCCATGCATCCATCAATACTATTTCTAACAGCATGACATTGAATGTTTATGCCTGCTTTATTCATTAATACAGCAGAGATATATATCGTATGTTTAATTGATTTGAAACAGCTGAAAATTCAATGGACTATACCTTTTTGATGAACTTGAGCATTCGTTGGTGCATTTTGCTTTCTCGGATCCGCGGGGTTGGGCTTGGGCTATGGACTCGCACATCTCGAGCGACCCTTTCCACTCTGCGCAGTGCAGTGGCGTGTCGCCTTTGTCGTTCCCTATCTCCAGCGCCGATAACAACGACCTTATTGACATTTGATGTACCAGCATCTTCACGATGGCTGCTCTGCCGTCTTTAACCGCCACATGCAACGCAGTGTCGTTGGTGCTGTTGATTGCTCTCTTGTGTATCTTCACGTTGTTTTGGTATTCCGCCACAACCTCATCCCATTTCCCTTCTAATGTGCAGAAATATAAACTCCACCTCCGTCGACATGGGCATTTTGCCCAGATTACCGTCACTCACTGTGCTGCCAAACTCGTCCCGTAGATGTCCATACAGTACCGAGGAGTGGGCGAAGCAAGAATATATGACCTTTCATTGTGAAAGAGCAAGGTATTATTATCTTTTGCTCTGTTTGTGTTCGGTGCATCACCTGCGCTGTTTACCACAGTTCATTGAGGTTATTTGAATTAGCTTTTGTGAATAGTTTCTAGAAAAAAGTGATTAAAAAGATTATTGGAAAAATATATTTTAAAAGAATAGATTTTGTTAAAAAAATAATTTTGAAAAATTAAAAATATATGTTTGAATGATTATTATCAGAATTATTTTTCATGTGCAAATTAGTAAAAATATATAAATAATATATATACATGTGAATTCGTAATATCAAACAACAACTATTTTTTGTTCTCAATATAAAATTTAGTTTGCAGTTTAAACTACATTTCATATTAAGGATATGAGGTACTCTTCCAGTCCTTAATGTAGTTTCTAATTATTGAGTTGATATAATGGTCCTAAATGTAAAACTTATTTTTTATATTTATTAATTTTTTCTAAATTACCTCTATTGATACTCCTTTAACCATAATCAAGTAGGAAAAGGATGGGCAATACTACCTCCGGTTCTTAATATAAGACTTTGTTTGAATTTTATTTTGGTCCTACATATAAGATCCGAATTCATTTTGTCTCTCATATTTATATATTTTTTCCCCAAAATAATCCTTCTAACAATGGTAGTTCTAGCCAATACAGTTGATTAGTAAGGATATTTTAGGAAAGACAATACCTATTTATTACAAATAATTAACTTAATTTCTTTCATTAATCTCTTCAAATTAGTCAAATAGTTCTTATAATTAGGACCGGAAGTAGTATTAAAAAAGATGATTAAGAGTTTTAGGAAAAAACACGTCACATTTCTTATAATTAATTAACTTACTTGATTTTCTTAATATAATAAAATTAGTTAAATAGATCTTATATTAAGGACCCGAAGATGGAAGATTACTACAAACATGCATAATGTTGTTTATACTTTATTGAAATTAAGTTTACATTCTTTGACATTATAAAAGTCTTGAACAAATGAATCTGTAATAATATTACAAGTCATTCTAAAATCTTTTAAAAATATAATAACATTAATGTTTACAAAAAAAAATTAGTATTTGATATTAATGATTTAAAAATCTAATGAGATAAACTTATATAGGAAGCTGCGGCCAATATACCCGTATCGCCATGCGTCTCATCGCCCCCCTCAAATTGTGGGAGAGGTTTTTTTTTGGTCAGGCAGGAGAGGTTGACTTTGTCTACCATTTGATTTGCATTGGACTTTTCTTTTGGAGTATATGTTTAGTTTTCTTCCTGTAGTTTGTTCCTTTCTTCAGACAGAGTCTGTTTTCTTTTCAAACATAAGCTGGGTAAGGGTGGAATTTCGCTCCTTATCTTATTTATTATATGTACCCAATACTCTGATTTTTAATAATACAATTTTATCCATAATTTTTTTATAAATTGAGAAATAAGACTAGAGGTAAAATTGTATAAAAAAAAAGATTATAGGTAAAATTAAATTACCAAAAAATATGCTAAGTATACCTAAAAATAAGATCAGGTATAAAATTGTACTTTTACCCAAATAACATTAGCTGCCAGAAGCAAGCTATTATATGTATTTTATATTAAAGTATAAATTTATTTTGAAAGTTTTAACTCAGGAATGCGAACATTTTTTTGGAGTGAAAATTTATTAGGAAAATGACAATTTTGATTTTAAATTTTACAAAACATATAGTGGGATTTACAGTTTTCATAGTGAGAGTTACTACTCTGTCAATGGGTTTTGCAACTTGTTTTGAAAGGCTAGTTAAGTTTTCTGTTAAAAAAAAAATTCCACGCCAAATTTTACAAATACATAGTGGGATTTACAACTTTCATAGTGAGATTTACTACTTAGTCAATGAGTTTTGCAATTGTTTTGAGGGTTGGGCAACTTTTTTGTAAAAAACAATACAATTCCATGCTAAATTTTACAATACATAGTGAGATTTACAACTTTCATAGTAAAAGTTACTACTTTGTCAATGGGTTTTACAACATGTTTTGAGGCCAAAAATAAAAATTCCAGATTAGTACCTGATGCCTTTTTTATCATTTTGTTTATTCGGATGCCTTATTTGTATTTTAAAATTCAGAAGGTATTTTATTGTTATTTTTCCAAATTTATTCTAAAAGTTTAAAATTGTAGCAATGATGCCCTTATAATTAAAAATGTAAACAATGAATGTGAATATTTTAATCGTTAACATTAGTTTTTTAGCAATATGGAATAATATTGCTAATATTTTAAATTTTTCAAATAAATTTGCACCAAAAAAAATTTACATGCTTAGTGCTTCTAATTAAAAATTTCTGAGACAAATTTACACACCTTTTTTTTTTGGAAAAAATCAAAAGCTCTAAAATTGATGGCACTCGTATTTCTCAATTTTGTCTCTGCCATGTATACTTTAAATACTACTACCTCCTCCGATACTTAATATAATAATCAATTTAACTTTTAATTTGATTCTAAATATAGGACCCAAATTCATTCTATCACTCTGTTTTTTTAAAATTCTTTTTAAAGGTAATTCTTGTAGTAACGATAATTCTAGATACTATACTTAATTAATAATAATATTTTAGAAGAAAAAAAGCACATATTTATTACAATAAAATTCACTAATTTTTTTAATCTACTGAAATTAGTCAATTAGCTTTCATATTAATTTCATATTAAGGATTGGACATAACAAAACACTCCTGGTGGGGAAAAAAAACTAAAACACTCTTGAATTGAATTCGTGTAAACGGTGAAGAATATAACGACTACACCCTTGCAGATCTTTAATGCGCCAAATCAGCTTCTGATTACGGGTCACGTTGACGTAAGAGAGATTATATTCAATAAAGGCAGTAACTTGGAATATCAGAGAGGTGCAACTCTGCAAAGCTTCCAGTTATTCATTAGATGATCATGGGAGATTTTTGTACAATACGAAAACTCGAAACAGCACAACAACGCAGCCATTATTTCATTTAAGAATATTTGATGGAGCTGTTGATAGCAAATTAAACAGAGCACTATTCGGTAATTGGGACAACAATGACGGAAAAGAAATTAGACTGTCAGAGAATAAGCTTCTCAGATTCTCTATTACTGGACTGGGGATCCTTGCTGAAGATCGCTCTGACAAGATCAGCATAGAGGGGGAATTGAGCCACGGCGTAGAAAGTAACAGGCAAAATGGCGGCGGCGTAGAGTGGCAAAACAACCTGCTTGAGGTTGTCCTTGAGCACAAAGAAGAATGCGGCGGAGAAGGAAACCAACACGGAAGCGATGGAGAGGAAGAGCGAACTCAGCCCCATAAGAAGCTTGAGAGGCAAATCTTTGCGGAAATCTCTAGGCTGGCGGCGGGAAGTGAGGATGGCGAGGAACATGATGAGAGCGGTGATGGAGCAGCAGAGAGCCAAGAGGGAGGTGAGAGCAAACATGTTGAAAGCCGGGTGGCGTTCCAAGTAAGGCTTGCCGGTCTCCTCCTGAGTGCCGCCGGGGATGGTGGTGGAGGTGGCAAAGGCGACCCCAGCAATAAGTGTGGCCACGACGGAGCACGATTGGGACGTGTGGTTGAGCCATTCAGTGCCTTCTTTGATTAAATTCTCGTGATCTTTTCTGAAAATTCCCACCGGCGTCTCTTGGTTGTTGTTCGGGAGGAATGGCACGTAGCTGGGCATTATATCCTTAATATACTGCAAAAAAATGTAAAACAGGAAACCATATATTGTATGTGAATGAGATTAATATGTATGTATATATATGGTTGATTTTATCGAGAAGGAAAAAGAAGAAGAATTATGAGAAACAAATGATACCAGAAACCATTTGATTTCCCACTGCATTTGCAAGGCAGATCCAGAGATGTGCCAGGGCTTGTACTGGGAGAGCCTGGCGGCCAAGTGGAGGATAGTGTTGCCATCATTGTCTACGCCTTGAACGAGGCTTTTCCCCAGCCTCTGCTGCTTGAGAAGCTTAAAAACATAGGGTTGCCTGTACTCCACTGCCACATGCAACACATTCTGGCCTCGCGAGTTGGTTTCGTGGATGGCCCCTGGTTTATGCTTCAGAATTTTCTTCACTATTTCCAACACTCCATTCTTCGCTGCAATAAATAACGCCGACTCCTTTCTGTCCCATTCTTCTTTCTTCTCCCCGTCGCCTGCAAATAAATCCAATCAATATATATGGTGTACTGTAGAGGGGTTGTGCGGTGCTGTATCTGAATAAGGAAAGAGAAGATATGCAACTAACCTGCCGATCCATGATTTTTGCCTTTGCACAAGCTTTTGCGGAGTTCTCGCAATTCTTGGGATTTTGGCAACATCAATTTTAGACAACAGAAGAGGCAAAATGAGCTCGGAGATGCTTTTATATGTTGTGACTGAGTCGTCATTAAAGGTTTTCAAGTTTCAAAATTCAACCTGATATAAGTAATGGTAGAGAGTTGCCTTCTAATTTGTTTTGGTTCCCGCTAACATCTTCCATCTCGTCATTCTTTTTTTCTGCGCAATTCATATAATACAAGTTAAAGTTACTTACCCTTCTCATTCTATTTCTGATCATTTAGAAATTAGACTAATATAAATCAGATAAATACGGCGACCCAAGCTTTGGGTCCTATATTTTGACCCACAATTAATTATATAGTATTTGCTATCAGAGAGAGAGAAATTTTTTATTACCTTCCTGCCGGTTCTGATTGCCATCATCACTTGG